CACAGGTGACGCGCTGCCGGGTGGGCTCTGTGATGGGGAGCGGGACACCTTCACCCCCAGGGCTCAGGGTGCTGCAGGGGGGTGCGGGCGATGGTTGGGGGTGACCCAGCAGCTCCTGGGGCATGACTGCAGCTTTTGAGGGGGGGGTGGGCTGGGCCGGGGTCTCCTGGGGAGCAGCAGCACAGGGTCTCCCGGATCTGCCGACATCGCTCTGTCCCACCATCATCCCCCCTGGGGACCCCAGGGCTGGGGCTGTCCCTCTTGGATGACAACTGGAGCATCTTCACACACCACATCCATTCCCCTCCTGGGCTGCGCGGGAGGCAGCCCAGACCAGAAAGGGTCCCTCGCCATGGCCCTGTCCCACAGCACTAATTTAGGGACAGTTTTCTGTGTCACGAGGACATGGTCTCGGTACTCGGCTTCTGCCGGCACCCAGCTCAGCATATTTAGGGTGAGGTGGGTCAGGACAGGGGCTGGGGCACAAGGCGAGGGGACGGCTGGTGGCCTTCCAGGTGTCCATCTGGCGATGGGAGAAGGAAAAGGAGCGACTGGTGAGCTTAAGTGCGTAATTAGAGCTGTGACTTAATTGGCACATCAGGACACGCGATGGATGTGGCGTGACTTGAATAGTGATGTGCCGGTAGAAGCACAGGGAGGGTCTGCACTGCACAGGGAGGCAACGGGAGCACAGAGGGGATGGGGGGGGGCGGGGGAGGACACCCCAAAAAGTCTTGTCCAGTGGTGGGAAAGGAGAGGGGACAGGGGAGGGACAAGCACAGCATAGGCCACCCTGTGCACCCGGGGGGCAGCCGGGACCTGCACCCCTGGAGGGGACCTCAGTGTGGTGGTGATGTCCCGAGGAACCTGCCGAGGATGGCAGATGTCACAGGGATGGAAAAGAGCAAACGTTTCCCCTTTATTTGGAAAGGGGGAAAGGAAAAAACAGGGAATTATGGTGTTAACTGTGTTCAGCCTCTGGAAAAATACCAGAACACATCAAAAACCCTCTTGTGGGAGCCTGGGAGGTAGCGGGGAGAGAGGGACCAGTCCTTTCACATCTATCGGGAGCAACCAGGGCAAAACAGCAGCCGTCCTGCGTGCCGGGGTCCGGCCTCACTCGCTGTCGGGACAGGACAGGGTCCAGCCCAGGCAGCCCCTTCCCGGGGCCGTCCGGGCCCCGGCTGCAGGGAGTCACTGGGTTTGTGTGACAATCCCTCCATCTCACGGCTGACGGGGGATTTGGGGCTCCCCGTACGGAGGCAGGGAAACGCCGCTGCCGGCAGCGGGGAGGCACATCCTGCTGCGACCTCGGCTTTGCGCTTCAACCGGCAGCTGGAGAGGGTTCGGCTGCGCCCGCCTCGGAGCCGAGAGCTCGTGGTCCCGCTCCGGGTGCCCACGGAGGAAACACCAGCAGGAGCCTGGCACGCAATGGAGTCTCCTGCCCTGCCTCGTGCTCCGGCCAGGGAAGGCCCAGGGGAAGCGGGAGCCCGGCCTGTGGCCACCGCCGCGTGGCTGTACCCAAATCCCCTCTCCATCAGCCGAGCTCCCCCACCCCAGCAACGTGCGGCTGGGTTTGGAGTGGGCACCCAGCTCAGCGCAGGCTGCTCTGGCGAGGGGCTGAGCCCCCCTCCCCCCGCCAGCCCGGGGCTCCCGCTCCTCCTCTGCACCTTCTCCACGGCTGAACTGATGAAATTTTAATCTGCTGCCAGGCAGGAGATGAAAGGGAGGCATCGCAGGCGCTTCCCTGGGAAGCCGCCGGCTGCAGCCGAGCGCCCCGCCACTGCAACGGGGGTGCGACGCGGGCACGGCCCCGGCACCGCGACACAGACACCGCGCTGGGAATTATCATCCTCTCAGGCTGAGGAAAGAGAGTGGTGGAATGGTGCAGGGCTGGGGATTGGTAGGACAGGGTTGTCTCCGGGCTCTGGCAGAGGTTTTTTGGGTCTCTCTTGGGCAATGGGTGTCTGTGGCTGCTCTGGGAAGGGGCTTTGGTTCATGGGGAGATACTGGGAGCTCTGCAGGATCCTCTGTACACGAGGGGATCTCATTGCGATCCGCAAGCAC